TTGAAATTCTTACAACTAGCATCTAAGTAAAGAGCTTAACACTGTTGTTTTTTTAACTTTCCTTCATTTTATTTTATTAAATTGCGAGTACAGGCTAGCATTGAAAGAAGAAAGATGTCCAAACGTCTAACGGATGAAGCCATGGCTTATTTTGATGAGTGTGTATCCCTATCAACTTTTGACAGTTCCGACTTCTCATCCCCAGAGGACCCACCATTCAACTTAACTGGCTTTACTACCCCAGCCGGAAAAGGCTCATCTTTACTCCAAGCAAATTCAGTTGCTTCAGTCACCAATAGCTCAAACTTTTGCCTCAATGATATAAAGGTCCATCTCATACCTTGGTGCTTATTATTCCATTTCCAGACTACTTTTTTGTATGCCTTTTTTCCCCTAAATAGCACAGTTATCAACGAAAAAATTGACTACTTAATATTGGTTACTAACTTGCACGTGTGTCATTATATGGGTACAACTTTTTGCATAATTCTAAAACCATACTGGATATCGATTCAGACAGCTGCTCATTTACATTTTTATGGTCCAACTACTGAAACAAACACCAGTCAAATTGTTTGTTTGTAAATGTAATACAACAACAACAAAGCCTTATCCCACTATGTGGTTAAATTTTGAAAAGTAAATTGTTTGTTTGTAAATGTAATAATTTATAAATATTTTAGATTTGAATCATAAGACTATTGAAAAGTAAATGTCAAATATGTTTTTGTTGCTAGATGTCATATAGTGATAAAAGTATATGGTCTTAATGCATGAATTATGTAGGAAATATGTAGGGCTGCAGATAGGATTTTCTAGGCTTATGGCCTGGTTTGGAAATCTAAAGTTCTTACTAAAGTGAAGGTTTTTACTTGGTAAATGGCTCATGGGAAAGTTAACACTTGTGACCTGCTCCATTCATGCCTACAACCTGATTGGTGCATTTTATGCAACAAAAGTTCAGTCTGTTGATCATTTGTTTCTTCACTGTCCGGTGGCTTTAAATCTATGGTTGATTGTTTAGGGTGTTTGGTATGAGTTGGGTTTTACCTAGGGATTGTTATTATGGTGGAGAAACATAAATTACCAGGAAAGGGGAAGAAAGCCAAGGTCTTATGGGGTTGTTTAGTTTCAGCTATCTTTTGGGCCATTTGGATGGAAAGAAACAGGCTGAATTTTTAGAATTACGCGGTCCATAGAAGGGAGGATCTATGGGATAAAGTTCGGTTATGGTCATCTCTACGGGCATAGGTTACTACAGAATTTAGAGATTTTTCTTTTTCAGAAATTTTGTGTAATTGGAATGCTGCTATTTGTTAGTTTGTGATGTTTTCATAGTTTCTAGTGATGTTACTATTTATCCTTTTTTGTTTGTGCTTCTGTGCACTTCTTGCCCGCTCTTGTATTTTTATTGTTTCTTGCAATAAAAGTTGTTTTCTTCTTCAAAAAATTATGGTGGCTGAGAATAAGTGGCAAGTTTGATTCTAATTACTGGCATATTAGGAGAAACAGAACTCATCAAAGTGAAATATTATATTGTCATAAAGTTTCTTTCTACATTGTTCTCTCTCCTCATTCTTACTAAATTATAATGTAACTCCAAAAACTGTCTGTTCCAAGGAAAAAAAGAAGCAAAAACTGGTCATTTCAACGGTTTTTTAAAACTATTTTGTGGTTGTTTGTCCCAGTCTTAATCATAGTGGTTCAAGTTAATTGTGCACTTCTAGAGTCATTTAGTTATATATGTTTGGCCAAATTGCATTTGTGCTCGATAGTTTGGGTCATTTTATACTTTGGTTTTCATAGTGCAAAGGGTTTAGGTTTAGTTCATGGAGCGCCCAATGGCATGGATGTCGAGGGTGGTATCTCTGTGATCTTGTGCTGCCCCAAAGCAACACCCATACAAGTGCATAACCAAATAACCTTGAAGTACTTTTGATAAAAATCTAATGTGACCACACTTGCAATCCGTATACCACAGGGATATGATTGAAGAAATTGAAACCTACATCAAACAGAGTGGATAAGGACCCAAGTATAAGGACCAATAACCTTTATTTTTTGTTATTAAAGGATTTCTTTACTTTTAGTTTCTCTTGTTCCGTAGTAGTTGAATAAGTACCCATGTGGTTTACATATTTGGTTCGAAGCAGAGACTGCATCTTTTCCTTCAGAATTTCTTCTCCAGTTATGAAACTGCACTATCGTGAGGTAAATAACCAAAGGGCATTATTTCTACCCTGGAAAATCTGATGTTGCCAACTTGTAGACAGTTCCATGAAAGGAATATTAACTTTTACATAGAGAGAATGGAGATAAAAAGATAGAAGAATTCATGACTTGTTTTACTAAAAAGTTGTTTATCCCTTGTTTGATTAGTCATCTTGTTCCCTTGTTTGAAAGACAGAATGCATCTCGACCATAGTCGAATGCATCTCGACGATAGTCGAATGCATCTCAACCATAGTCTTGCCTGTTTGACATTGAAAACCATGAGCTTGCAAAAGCAATTTACTGAAAATATTCTAGTTTCTGAAAACATAATGTCCATTTTTTCAGGAGTTGAACATCGAAAGTCAGTTTTCCAATGAACGGCATGCTTCAGGACTGATGGCCAGCGGTGGTCCTAGGGAGCCAGCTCTGAATCAAATTAGTCCCAACAGTGCCAAGAGAGGCCAGGATTGGAAGTTCTCGTTTGCTCATAAGCCAACAGCAGAAACCCTTGATCTTCAACAGGACATTAGGAAGTACGTCAGACATTTTGAGAAAGGAAATGAGAAAGATGACACGGAATTGCAGATTGTACGATCAAACTATTGTGATTTGGGTGAGTATAAATTGCAGGCTGCAGCACAAAGCTATCTGTTCGACAGGGTCTTGTTTAGAAACAGAATACAGACGGGTGGTATTTTACTCTGCGGTACTGGTATTTCGAACCCCTTTTCCCCTTTTGCTTCATTTGTTTGAGATTGTGGTCTGAGGCAGAGCCATAAATTGAACAATAGGCAGAAATAGAACAATGTCTTCAGAGGTGAAGTTGGGTGTAATTAGTTTTTTTTATCTTCTTTGTTAAATTTTTGTAAAAGGGTGTAATTTGTATTGGAGGCCCGGGAAGGACAAGGGCGATGGTCGGGATCTAGCGCGTGTGTGAAGGTAAAAGAAGGGGTGTAATTTGCGTCCCTGGTCGCTTTGTGGTGTTGATTGTAAACTTGTACCAAAAATGGTTTAGTGAAATGAAGTGTGTGGTTGCATCCTACCGTGGCTTAGAATTTTTATTTGTAATAAACCGTTTTGCTTGCCGGCCCTACTTAGTGGGATAAAATTTGATTGTTGTTATAAAAACCGTCGTGCTAGGGCTAGGATGAAGCCTGCCTTATCCATCATGTGTTCTCTTTTGTTTCGATGCTTGGCTAGCTGTTAGGGATTTTCACCACTCATCTCTTTTGATTAGTTGAATGTCTGCAAATGCATCTTGTGTTTAGGTTTTGCAATTATATCGCGCCAATGTAAGATTCTTGATTCATACTTTCATCACCAAAAAGTAAAGAGTAGTAGTAGTTGATCTTAATTGCATCAACTACTAGATTTAACAAGAAAACCAACAAGAGAGTTACTCTAATGTTCTTCAAGCGGATTGAGAGTAACCAATGAACAAAACCGTCCCAGTGCACCACATAAAAGTCAGTTTTGTGTGGATTATACAGTTTTTGAGTGAAATTTGATTTAAATATATTTTTTATTATTTCAGCTGTTGGATTTAGTTTTGGCCCGTTATATATATATATATATATATATATATATATATATACTGTTAGATTTGTTTGTATTTGATCTCTGTTGTTCAATTTAATGTAGCCACTAAATCAACCAATGATCCAATCATGCAGCCGTCAGATTAAAGAAATGGATACTTTGGATGCGGTCCCTAATTCTTAACATTCTTTGACTAAAACCTTAATGGTATTCAAAGTTTGATCAAAGTCCTTTGACTTTGTACAACTCATTATATTACAATTAATATTTATATTTTTATAGTTTTGTATGATATTTTATGAGATTTATAATCCTATAAATTTAAAATCCCTCATTATAATACTATTAGAAACGGTTACAATTAAAAAAATTCAAACATTTTGATTGAATAAATGGATAAAAACTATGTAAAATTAAGAAATAATAAATGGCAAAAGAATGTATCCATAGTGTTAAAAAAATTGGTACATTTTACAAAAAAATTGGTACATTTCACATATAACAAAGTAGTACATTAATAAAGAAGAATGGGTACATTATAAATAAATTAGGGTATAGATAAAAGAATAAACAATTATGAGTACAAATGAATTTTTTAAAAATATAGGCGCTAAAAGAAATTAATACATGGGTACAAAATAAAACTAAAAAGAAAATACTACAAATTTAAAAAATGTTGCAAACTAAAAGTGGGTACAAACTAAAAATATAAATTTATGATACAAAGTTTAGGCATAAAACATAAATTACCATATGTAATTTTTATATCATTGATTAAATATGCAAATATACTAATTGTAACATTTTTAATACTAAAGGAATATATTTAAAAATAAAAATATTTTATTATTCAAATAATTAATGATATTATTAATATCCAATGACCTTGATCAAAAATTGAAAATGAATAGGATTTTAATCAATGAAGTAGCAAAAACAAGGATGTGAACCTAATTTCTCCTTAAAGAAAAGAATCGTTGGCCCAGAAAGGGTGATTGACAAAGTTATTAGGGGCTAACACTTTGTTGCATACGGGGTGTTGCATGCTTCAATGCATTGGTGAGAAGTGAAGTGCATCTACGGATAGTGGTTGGACCCTCGTACATCCTAGGCTTATATTTGTGGCGGAATTGCGCGGAAGACTTTTTTTTTTTCTTCCCATAGCTTATTTTAGCCCATGAAAGCAACAGACGTACACACGGCAGATCCTTCAATTTTTCAAAAGTTTTAAGGATGCACGCATACATACATAAATACACAACCGATGGTGAGAGGGAGAGAGATTGATATTTCAAAGCTTGGAGAGCAAAGTTCGGATTGGTAGCATGGCTGAGTGCAGATGCCAAGTGTAGGGTGTTTAATTAACTCTGAGTTAATTTAACCCACCCCTAACTTTGACCCCCGGTTAACCTCATCGGTCCTGCTTCTTTGCTTCTTTGCTTCTACAGTGGACTGTCTCCTCCCTTCCCCTCACCCACCCTTTCTTGGTAAACCACTTTTGGGCTTTGGCTACCAAATGCCACTCCTCCTTCCTCGTCTTATGCTTCTCCAGGTACTCCTCCTCCTCCATTCAACTATCTCGCCATAAAAGCCTCACATGCATTTATTATTTTTTTTTGGAGTCCACAGAATATCCGGATGAAGAGGTCCTCTAGTTTCTCTTGCTCTTCTCTTACTTCTTCTTCTTCTTCGTCTTCGTGCGCTGGGCCGGAGATTCCGAAACACAACGTCCAGGCAGAGATTCAGAAACCGAAACCAAAACGCGTTCGAAAGAACCGAAAAACCGCAGAAGCAGCAGCAGCAGAAGACAACACCCCAAAGTCAGGATCAGGAGGCAGAAGAAGCTCCATTTACAGAGGGGTCACCAGGTCACCCATTTTTTTTAATTCATTAATTTTACAATTTCTGCACTGAAATTGCATGCCAAATTTGGGGGGAAATTGTAATTTCATTTGCATGTATGAATTATATATCTTACTTTTTTAATTTTGGTTCAGTGCAGGCACAGATGGACCGGCCGGTTTGAAGCTCATCTGTGGGACAAGAGTTCATGGAACAACATCCAGAACAAGAAGGGACGACAAGGTAGTATTTTAATTTCCTTTTTTTTTAATCTAATATTAATATAAATATATTTTTTAATTTTTAATTTTTAATTTTTCCTGTTTCTGACTATGTTTTTGTTCCTGTAAATCCCTGTCAATGCAACGTTCATCTGCACCGCTTTTGCCGCTGCTTAATTAGTTTATTTGGGTAAGTCAGACTCCTTCTTAATTTTTATGTTCAATTAGCTTATCTTTCTATTTTTTATTTTAATTTTTCTTATTTAAGAAGGAAAAATCAAAGGCTCTTCTCTTAAGTAACCCTTAATTATGTGGTCATGGTTGCTGCCGTTGGTTATTGTTTTTGACTAAAGTAATAAACTTCCTCTTCCTCTGATTTTTCAATGGGCTGGTCACGACTAACCACGGTCAGGTACATTGTGTGTAAAAGTACATTAGCTGAAAACTTAAAAAAATCTCGCATTATATTATGACACTTAGTATACCGGATCATGCTTCTGGCACACTAAAAGATTTCTTCTCTGCGTGCCTTTGATGTATCCATTATTTTATATAATATATATTTAAAGTTAAATAGGCATTTTTAGAAATTTATTAAAGGAAAACTAATGAAAAGGATTTGAAAACTTTGAGTTTTAATGATAAGGACAAAATAAAGGGTAAAGTGAATAGTACCAGAATTGACTTTTTAGTGTAAAAATATGGTTTTTCGTTAAAGTGAACAGTACCGGGTGCTTTTCGTTAAAGTTCCCATTTATTAACGTAATTGGTGTTTCATGCAGGGGCCTATGATAGCGAAGAGGATGCTGCTCATACGTACGATCTAGCTGCCCTTAAATATTGGGGGCCTGCTACAATACTCAATTTCCCGGTACATTTATTGTTCCGCCGTCTTTTTTGTTTCCATGTAATGTAACTCTTTTTTTTACATTAACTTACATTAAACTGTTGCTCACGTGATTCGTCTGTATGTTTTTGTGACAGTTTAGTATTAAAGATTGTACTCACTACTACATGTTAACGTAACGTTACTGCACTAATTTATGATTGAATGCAAATTTATGTTGCAGCTAGAAACATACACAAAGGAAATTGAAGAAATGCAAAAGGCTACCAGGGAAGAATACCTAGCATCATTGCGCCGGCTGAGCAATGGATTTTCGAGAGGAGTTTCAAAGTACCGTGGGGTGGCGAGGTAAGTAAATTCGCACTTGCATGCCGAAAATTGGACAAAATGTGGCTACCATTGTTCAAGATCACGCTCTTACTTGCTGAAATCTATGTTTCTCACAGGCATCATCACAATGGGAGATGGGAGGCGAGAATCGGAAGAGTTTTCGGAAACAAGTATTTATACCTCGGAACTTATAGTATGTACTTTAACCCCATCTCTCAACTTTTATCATGTTTTCTCCAATTTTAGATGCATATCATGCATTTTCCAAAAGGAAAACTGACGAAAAGTCCTCAAAAACTCTAATTTTAATGAAAAATGACAAATAAATGTATAAGTGAATAGTACCAAGAAAGGTAAAAATGCCAATTTTCGTTAAAAGTGAACAATACCAGAAATGTTTTGTTAAAACTCAATTTTCTAAAAGCTTCAAATTTCTTTCACTTTCCATGCCTTAGACATTTTGTTTGTCACACACACACACACATATATATATATATGTATATGCCAATTTCATAAGCTTGTGGCTCAGTCAATTTTCACGGACGTGATACGTGGCTTCTAGGTTTTCATTCCGGTCCAAAACTTAACCAAAATTATGGCATTCATGTCAAAAATTAAATTATGATATACATGTCAAATTCATGAGGTTTTCTTTTCTGTACGAATAATAAAATAATTATTAATTAAATTATCTCCTCCTAGCAAAGCCCCACAAGTAAATTCCAGACAAGACCATCAAAAATGTAACAACTATATTTTGTACGAGTAAATGAAAATCATTTTCTCTCTATCAAAATCCCAACAACTATATCTGTGTTTATATTTTCGAAATTAGTAGGGGCATGAAGCCGCTTTCCTTTGTTCGTGCGGTTTTCTAGTTTAATCTGTATTATGGTGAGGAAAATTTGAATTTAAAGTATAGAAATACATGTTAGTAAGTAACAGATTTTAAATTTGATTTTCGCTAAATACGTATTCGAACCAAATTATTATATTTGTGGCTTAGCCCAATCACTTATTTGTGTAAAGGAAAATGTTAGGGAGATCATGTTTTTAGGCCATATATTGGAGACCACACGAAGCCGCAGTTGATGATTAGATTATTTTTTTTACCGCTGCATTATATGTGGTTTACAAAATATAATTTTAGGTAAATGGTCTCGCTAACATTACTAAATAAATATCATTGTATTCAGGAAAATAAAATTACAAAAATGCATGTTGTTTTAGCCAAATTGCGATCTGCCCCTAAATAGTAGTATTTGGTGGGGTTTTGGGTTTAGCACTGGAAAAATCTGGTACAGGCGGAAGTGGCGACACGTAAGCATTTGACTTTATCTGGGTTTAAAGCAGCAAAGAGAGTGTGAGTTTTAATTGCCAGCAGTGGGGGCACGTGACTTTCTTTTATGGGAGAGAAAAATAAATAAATAAAAGTCGGCTGTCATTCTTCTTTTCTTCAAAAGACAGGATCAGATTTTAGACTTTTATTTATTTATTTATTAGTATTTCTTTTCATATTTTATTTTTGGTTTGATCCAAAAAATGGAAATAGATCATCATCGGATTTATTTAATTAAATTCATTAAATTAGGAGATTCGGGTTCTTAAATTTTAATCTAACAATTAAAGTTATTATTATTTTTAAAATGACTTATGTTTTTTATCGTTGGATCAAATTTCAAAGGTGCAGATCTTTTAATTTGATGAATTTAGTGGAAGAAATCAGGAGAGGAGAGAGATCCCTTACCCCAAAAAACCTTTTAAAAAGCGACGGGTATGGGTGCTCGCGTGTCTTATTGCCCGGCTTGTGGCTCTCTCTTGGTGTGCCAAGTCATCCTGGCCCTGGGTTGCTTTCCTGCCAGATCCTGACCGGCCAAATCCTGGCCGTGTTGTGTGCGTCTGCTTCCGATTTCCCATCTTTATTTCTTAGAGAGAAAGAAAACTAGAAACAAGTAGAAACCTAGTGTCCTTTTCATCTGCATGTGGGCGATTTTCAACCGTTGATGGATGTTTCTATCGTTTTGTGGTTATGTCCACCGACGGTTGGCAGTTGTTCACACGCACGTGAATGATTAATACTTGGTTTATCAAAATTTAACTAGGATGGAGATTAAAATGTGGAATTGTATTTTCGTATTAATAAAATAAATAAATAAAGGAGAGGGAATTTGAGAAACGAACATGTGAAAAGGGTCCTAGTTGCTTTCACCTAATTCCTACCTTCTTTTTTGCTTTTTAATGCCTAAAAAAGTAGGCGTTGTGGGTCATTAAAATTCTGATTGATTAACCGCATGTTGCAATTGTACGGATGAATTTTCACTTTTATGTAATTTTACTTAAAATACTGTCGATAAAAAATTATAACGCTACTTGCGTATTGCATTGTATACCACATCACTAATAGAGATGGGTATGTTCCACAAATTTATGGAATTCTGAGTCTCGCCTCTATTCGAATTGCAGTCGACAATGTAGTTCACGGGAATAATCCAAATATTTTTATTAGTCGTTTATTGATCGTTAGCTGTTTGGTTTTTGAAGATACACAAGAGGAGGCAGCAGCTGCATATGATGTGGCGGCAATAGAGTACAGAGGAACAAATGCAGTGACCAATTTTGATATCAGCAACTACATTGACAGAGTCAAGAAGAAAATCCACCCTCTGGATCGTCAGGAATCAGAGGGTCAACCGCCTTCCAAGCGCTCGAACATTGGACCACCCAAACAAGAAGAAGTCGTCGAACGCAAAGTGAACCAATTGCAACCGCAGCAGCAGCAGCAACAAGAACAACAAGAACGAACGATCTCGCCGCAACTTCATTGCCCTCATCTGCTGCATTGCATCGAAAGCAGTACAATGGAGCAAGTAATGGATCCTGGTCATGCGAAGGAGCACCATTTTAGTTGGAACTTTTTGGACACCGAAATGATGACTCAGCAGCTTGCGGTTCCTGATGACATCCCTCTTGACAACAAGTCGTTGGACTTGCCGGACTCGTTCGAGGACTTGGGGTTCGAAGAGAATTTTGACCTGATATTTGGTGCAGCTGGTGATGGCAGTTTAGGTGGCTTGATGGAATCTGCGGGGTGTGGGGTGGATCAGGTGGGTGTAGACGTCCCAAGAAACTTGGAGGACAATGGGTCTACTTTTTCTTCATCATCAACAACTACCTCTCTTTCTTTTTAACTCCTTGTGTTTGAACGTTGAAGGGTGTTAGTCAATGTGGGAGGGTTGGGGGATTGTTGGGGTTGGTCTCAGTTTGTTGTGATTCCATGTTGGTGGGTGGACAGCGAAGATTATAGACCAACAAAAATTATAAAACAAGAGAATGGTTTTGGCTTTTTTGTATCTTTGGTTTTGGGTGAAAGAAAGAAATTTTACTTGCAGCCGTTTGGAAAGTCAACTAGACATTGATTACCCAAAAAAACCGTTGTATGTCGCATTAAGGTTAGCATGGTCTTGTGTTACGCACGTTGGTCACGTGGTAAACATACATGTGATTGTCTATTGAACAAGTTTACTTAACACTGACTACCCAAGAAGCTTAAACTTATGAATTCTCACATGTCAAAAGTTACAAAGCCTCGAGTGGTAGAATGCAAATAGTTCTCAGACTTGAGGCATCATAAATGTCTTATGCTTATAGTTTTATAGATATGGACTTAATGTGATATTTCATATGTATGAGTATGAAGATACATGAATGTGCAATAAGAGTATCTTGATTAGTTCCAGTATTACTTCTACTAATTTGAGTATCTAGGACATAATGTTAAGTGTCATTCATGGTTTGCAGAGTTAAATTAATTCATTATTAATTTAGCTGTCGACTTAACTTAGAACCTAAGAGGTCACACATCTATGATAAGTTATAGTAACATTATATAGACGAAGATATAATTCATTGTTAATTATATTAATTAATTATTTGAACATGTTGAACATGATTTTGATCAAAAAGGCCCTTGACCTTATTTAATTAAAAGGACCAAGTCACAAGCTAAAAATGGACAAATGATTGAGCTTAGCGCCTGGACAAAGCCCATGACGTCAAGCCTAACAAGGTGATGCAAGGGATCTAAAGCCAAATGCAAAAATTATTTAGATTTTTCTTTCCTAACCCTAATGTAAAAATTATTCAGTTTTTTCGTTAAGAGAAAAAAACACTTCATGTGCCGTTTGGAAAGTCAACTAGACATTGATTACCCAAAAAAACCGTTGTATGTCGCATTAAGGTTAGCATGGTCTTGTGTTACGCACGTTGGTCACGTGGTAAAGATACATGTGCTTGTCTATTGAACAAGTTTACTTAACACTGATTGTCCAAGAAGCTTAAACTTATGAATTCTCACATGTCAAAAGTTACAAAGCCTCAAGTGGTAGAATGCAAATAGTTCTCAGACTTGAGGCATTATAGATGTCTTATGCTTATAGTCTTACATATATGGACTTAATGTGATACTTCATATGTATGAGTATGAAGATACATGAATGTGCAATAAGAGTATCTTGATTAGTTCCAATATTACTTCTACTAATTTGAGTAGCTAGGACATGATGTTAGGTGTCTTTCATGGTTTGTCAAGTTAAATTAACCTAAGAGGTCACACATCTATGATAAGTTGTAGTAGCATTATATAGACGATGATAAGATATAATTAATTGTTAATTATATTAATTAATTATTTGAACATATTGAACATGATTTTGATTAAATAGGCCTTGACTTTATTTAATTAAAAGGGGCCAAGTCACAAGCTAAAAATGGACAAGTGATTGAGCTTAGCGCCTAGACAAAGCCCATGACGTCAAGCCTAACAAGGTGATGCAAGGGATCTAAGCCAAATGCAAAAATTATTTAGATTTTTCTTTCCTAACCCTAATGTAAAAATTATTCAGTTTTTTCGTTAAGAGAAAAGCGATAAAAACACTTCATGCGCCACCCAAAAACCGTTGATCTTAGTGATAGATATTGCTCACACATTTAAATCAACACTCCATTATCTGTTGCTAGATGATACTTTTAGAGACTCAACACTTGAAGAACTTCACGTGATCAATGATAAAGAGGTAAATTGCAAGCACAAGGAAAATGAATGAGAGGAGTTGTTAACTTATAGAAGGAACTCTCTCTTCTCTTATCAATGCACCCATCATCCTACGTACATTGTTACAAATATGCTATACAAGTTTTGAGGCTTATAAATTGGGATTTTAAGGTTATCTACGAATCTAAAATGTTAACATGAGCGGTAACATAGCCAATTTACTTAAAATGTCAAAAGTGTCCAATCCATGCACATATTGCCACTTCATATTTCTCTCCAATTTTAATGGGGGAAAGAGATCCTCTCTGAATCTCTTCCACCAAAACTCACGGATCAAGTGATCCGGGCCCTTGAAATTTGATAAAATGGCTAAAAAGAAAGACTCATTTTAAAAGTTACAATAATTTTAACCGTTGAATCAAATTTCAAAAGGAAAACTAATGAAAAGGGCTTGAAAACTTTGAGTTTTAACGATAAGGATAAAATAAAGGGTAAAATGAATAGTACCAGGATTGACTTTTTAGTGTTAAAATGTGGTTTTTCGTTAAAGTAAACAGTACCGGGAGCTTTTCGTTAAAGTTCCCAATTTCAAAAGCCCAAATCACTTGATCTGTGGGATTTGGTGGAAGAGATACAGAGAGGATATATTTCCTTTAATGAGCTTAGAGCATCTCTAATGGTATAGGCAATTAAAGTTTTTACTATAAAAGCTAACGTGATTGTTACCTACTCAATTGTCTGACAAAAAAAGTTTGTCCTCCACATAAAATATTTTACTATAAAAATGATGTGGGGCCTAATTTGCTTGCTCATCGTATTGTAGGCAACATTGCCTACTTTAAGGGAGTAGAAAAAAATTTACAAACTCAATTGTCTATACCATTGAAGCAAGTTTTTACTTACATGACTTATCAAAATGGATTTCAATACTCAATTGCCTACACCATTGGAAATGCTCTTAGAACATTATTAAAATTGCAAAGATAAACTAGTTACAATGAACAGTTCTATCGTTTTTTTTTTTGTCAAGGAAGTTCTTAGTTTGAAGAGTAATTTACAAAGAATAAATTCACTGTCACGTAATATTTCAAGTTAATAATACTTTGTCAAGTGGATAAATTGTTGGTAATAATGCACGTGCACTAAAGAAAAATTTCAGTGTTTCTGTAATTGTATAATGACATGTGTTCGGCTCTGCAGTGTACTAATAATAATTACCAAACGGTAAAAAAAAAAACATTTGGAGAGCGAAAATGTCAAAACCGAAAAAGAAAAAAAAAAAAAAAAAACAGGAGGACGACGACACCCTCTTTCTTTTCTGGGTTTTTGGTTTGGGGCTTATCACTCGGCTCACTCCTTTAACACAAACAGTTGGAGCTCTACGCTCTTATACTCTTACAGTTATTTAGCCCCAAATTAACGAACCCTAATTTCCAACACTCTGTGGAAATTGAAGCAAGAATGGCACTTCAATTTCCAATCCCAAAATTGAGCCTCGAAGAAACCAGGTGAGACATTGCTTTTATTTATTTAATTGTTTTTCAGTTCTTTCTTTGCTTTTGATCCCATTTTCCGCTCACAGAAATATCCAATTGAAAACGTTTCTTGTTCCTTGTTTTTGAAATGATATATGAACTGAATGTTATTTTACTTACTGTTTTGTTTGAACTAGAAACGTAATGAATTACTATGAATGATTTGTTTTTTTTTATTGTTAAATTTATCTTTTTTTCTGTAAACACAAGAAATCACTAATCACTGTAACACCGTTACTAGTATTTTCGGTTTTGTTTCAGTTTTAATTGATTAACAAAGATTTTTGCACTTGTAAGCTCATAGAAAGATATGCAATGCTGCACCACAAATTGTTCTCGAAATTGTGTTGTGATCATATCATGGTATATATTTGCAAGAATTCTCATTAAACACGAAGAAACCTAGGACTGGAGTGGGCAACATGAAGTAATTTATCAGGATATGTCCTAAAGTTTGGTTACTTACATGTTTGTTGAGGACCACAACCATTCTATGGTAAGTCCTAGTAAGGTCCATTACCTTGTACCCCGGTGCTACGAAGAATACAACCGAGATTTTGGATGCCACTACTGGTGCATACTTTTCCATGGATGGTAATCTTGTCTCTTATGAACCAAATCGTGGAGGTGGGAGCGTCTCCCCTGCAGAATCAAATCACTCAGCAAGGAATCTTGGGCCTGTTAACTGTATAAGGCTGGGAGGAATGCTCAAAGTCTTCTAAACTATTTCAAGAAGATGCAGGCTGAAAACCCTGGCTTCTTTTATGCTATACAGCTTGATGATGAAAACCGCATGACCAATGTCTTTTGGGTTGATGCAAGATCGAGGACAGCTTATAACCACTTTGGTGATGCTGTAATTTTTGATACAATGTATCGACCCAATCATTACCAAGTCCCCTTTACTCCTTTCACTGGTGTAAATCATCATGGTCAGAAGGTCTTGTTTGGTTGTGCATTACTTCTAGATGAGTCTGAGTATTCATTTACATGGATTTTTAGGACGTGACTTTCTGCCATGAATGATCAGGCTCCTGTCTCTCATTACTATTCAGAACCAAGCCATAAGTGCACCATTTCCAGAACCGTGGTCCAAAGTAGTCATGTCATACAGTTGCAAACAAGACAGAGGCAACATACAGTGTACATTTCCTTCACAGGCAAGTTGAAACTGCAAAGGTCATTTATTTAATCCTTTTTAGAAGAATCAAGAAAGACTGGCTCATACAAGATAATCAAGAAGACGGCTCATGCTCTTCCTTCTCCACTACGGAGAGATATATAGTTGCATCAACTTTTCAGAGACAATTGAGGATTTCGAATCATCATGGGCATCCCTTCTTGATAGGTATGCTAACTGAGAAATGACTGGCTACAGGCAGTGTATAAGACAAAAAAGTCTAAAATCAGAATTATGAATTTTCCAATGTGCCACTATGCTCCTGTACTGAAGACACCTCCACATCACCACATACAAGGCTCCAGGCAGCAACTTGTATACCCAACAAAGTTTTTGCAAAGTTTCAAGAGGAATTGGTTGAAACTTTTGTTTATACTGCAAATAAGATTGAGGGTGATGGGATAGTCAGTAATTACAGGGTTGCAAAATATGAACATGATGACAAGGCGTATATAGTCATATTAAATGTCACTGAAATAAAAGCAAGCTGCAGCTATCAAATGTTTGAATATTCAGGCATCCTGTGTAGACCTATTTTAACTGTCTTCACAGTAACAAATGTTCTTACCCTTCCATCACATTACATATTGAAGCGATGGACAAGAAATGCTAAATCCTGTGTTGGACTAGAAGAAGAAGAGGGTTTAGATCTGCAAGGTATTGAGACATTGACCATGCGCTTTAACAATTTATGTCAGGAAGCCATTA